CTCTTTGCTATTTCAAGCACACGAACGGGATAGGTAATGCGATAAAGGAAATTGCTTACTAATGTTTTCTTGCGTATTCGCCTTTTCCGAGTGAGATAGTTGAGCTTTCGAACTTAGTTTTTTCTTCTTGACAGTGTTTCCTTTGGGAATGGAGGGTTTACTATGTTCGTCAGACAACCGAATTGTTTCTCTCTCTGTTGTTTCAACGGCTTCGCTTCGGTTTGTAGGTTGACCGACAAGTTGACCTGAATATCAAGAAGTGACCTTCACTCTATGGCACATTTCGATTTTAAGATACGAGTGAAACCTACCGGTAAAGGTAGAAACTGATGCTGGTGGAAGGAAGAAACTGTCTGGTTCGCTGTCCACATTATTGCCCACGTCTTTATGTTTTGGCCTATGTTCCACATGAGTCAAACGCTTGTTCAATTTTATTCCACCTGCTTCACTTAAATTTATCTTCTTCACAACAGCCTGAAACGAGCTGATTTCTGAATATAAAATGATAATTGTTAGTAACATCAAGGCTATCGGCTAGACAACTTGGTAGGAATTTCAAGTGTCATCAAGATGAAAAGCTAACCGTAGTCGGTGTTTCATCGACAGAGGGTTTACGCTCAGCTACTTTTGTTACTTCCTCATGTTGGGGCTTCTTCCTCTTCGATGAACTGGCTGTTGGCCCCAGTAACTGCAAAACCTACTATTAGAAATGACATTGATAACAGCTACGATAATTGCATTTACAAGTTCTCTGCGGTGTTTCGCAGCTTGCTCATCATCATCGCTGCCCGATCCTATCTGCTCGTCATCGTCATCGCACTCGGAATGCTCCGAGCTTTCATCACTTCCATCTCCAAAGATTTCTTCACTGTTGGCCACGTTCATATTAACCTTCTTGCATTCTTTTTTGACGGAGGGTACTTTTGTTTTCAATCTTTTTCCAAGTTTTATATCAGGCTTCGCTTCTGCTGATTTCACTTCCTTTGCGGGAACCTCAGCATCCTTTTCGCTTTCTTCGCTGTCCACCCCTTCACTATCTCCCGACAACAAACTATCTCCAGTTTTGAGCGAGGCGTACTGCAAGCCTAGCCTCTGCAGTAGAAACGCGGTAGTCACTTCCCATGATGGATATCGGCTTCTAAAGTAAAAATATGTGAACATCAGGAGTTTCACATTGGACTGGTTGAGATAGTTTCACTCCCGAGGAACTCTCAAGTTATCAAATATAGAATGCTACCGGACAAGGTAAAGGTTTGAAAATATATTTTTTTGTATAATGTTGAAAGTAACAAACAAAGCACTGTTGCGACCTCCT